TATTATATAATAATCATAAATGGCAAAAATTCAGGATTCTGCTAAGAATTTACATCATGCTTGTGTAATGTATTTTGATAATATTGGGTTAGAAAATACAAATCATATTGATGTTGCTTGTGATAAGGCTTTATTTAAATATTTAATATCTTATAAAGATAATAATCCACAGATTAGATAAGTATTAGGGCAATGGCATACATCAAAAGATATGTGTAGTGCACTAATTATACTTTTTTCAAGTTATGGTATTTTTGGTTTAGCTGCTCGATTAGGTGTACTTTATCTTGATAAATTAGAAAAAGTAGTCGATTATTCTGCAACTTGTCAGGTGCTAGAACTAATTTGGGTTGCAGTTGGATGTGCACTTGTTCAATATGCCCATAGACAAGAAAAATCATTACAAGAAATTAGATATAGAACAAATAAAATTGCAAAAGTATGGTACTGCTATTTTTGTTGAAGTGCCTATTGGTTAAGTCATAAAGTTGGAATTAGAAAAGGTAATTTTGACATGCAATTTAAAAATCTTGCTGCTTTTTTGCCACTTTTCCTGCAGCAGGAAAACACAATTATGCTAGATGCTAGATCTGTTCCCTTTTTTTTGTCTTATGTTAAAAGAGATATTAACTTTCAAAAACTTCTTAAACACGTATATTCGATTAACCTTACATGTGAAGATCATTATTTTGGATTTGATGAAGGATTAGAAAGATTTGGTGTCTAATTTATTAAGCAAAATGTTAGTGGAAAGCGATTAACAATTGAAGAATTAAGAATATAAATATCTTCCATACAAGCAGAAAGAGAGCGATTAGAGTTGCTAATCTCTGAATATGTTAGTGATAATCTTTATATTAAAGAAGAAAGAACAACAAAGTCCCAAAAAGAATCTTTCTGGAAACTTACATCTGATTTATTAGATGCATTTTCTCAATCCGATTCATCACATGAACTTTTTCTTAATGCTCCAGAATTTAACGAAGCAGGCTTTAAAGGTCTATTTTCATGCTATGATGAAGGTATTGATCGTCTTTATAAAATTTTGAAACAAGATGTTTATAAAACTGAAACCAAAGATGTAAAAAGACGCTGGGTACGTAATGTTGTAACCTATAAATAGCAAAATTTGTTAGAAGGGGAAGCAATATTTACGATCATGAAAGTAAGGAAAGTTGAAATTTTCGTAGCATGAGATTTATCAAAATTAGGAATTGGTAAATTGTGGCTTGTTCTTTTGCAATTATTAGCCTTATATTTTTTCATATGTAAAGTAATAATTAATTATGTAAAAAAAGATATCAAAAAAGGTGGAAATCCACTATTATATTCTTTTAATGATAACAGTGATTCAAGTTTGGATTTGTTTTGACGTATAAGAGATCGAGACTTCCAAACTGCAACTTCTAATTGTTCGCCAATTTTTTCTGAAA